CTATAATTATATTTTATTAATTTTCATAAACATTTACAGAGATTTTGGGCTTCCACTCATTCATTGTTGCACTATTCTCTTTACCCTCCTCCCAGTTTAGAACAGATATATCTTGGAGAAAGTGAAACCAGAGTGCTCCAGAGAAGGAAGGATTTTGAAGCTTTATCTCACAAACTTAGGACATGCTATGAAAAGTGGCTATTCCTCGGAGAGGGACATCATGCTTGAAAAGGTGGAGGGTCAGCAAAAGAAAGGAAGACCCTTAGTAAGATGTCTTGAGTGTCTGCAGGAAGGGGCTCAGTGTATCGGGGGTAATAAGGATGGTGCAGGAAAGGACAGGTTTCAGATCTGTTGTTCATAGGGTCGCTATGAATTGTGCTCAATAGCATTTAATAAGAACAACAACATGTATGCCAATATTCTGAATGCATTTTACGCTGCTCCCCTAGCCCAATTATATATATTCTGTATTATATATAATCCTCACCATAGGTGGTGGTTGTTATTGTTAAGTGCTATCAAGTCAAGTACAACAGATCGGAACCCTTTCCTATACTATGGTGTACTCACCATCTCTGCCACTCAGGCCCATTGCTCCAGTCACTGTGTTAATCCACCAGCTTGAGGTTCTTCCTCTCTTTTGGCACCTCTACACCATTCTAAGAATGATGTCCCCCTCCAAGGAATAATCTCTCCTAGCAACATGCCCAAAGTAATTGAGAAGAAGCTTCATCATCTTTGCCTCCAAGGAGCACTCTGGCTGCACCTTCTCCAAGACATGTTTGTTCTTTTGGTAGTACAGGGATGTTCAGTACTCTTCTCCAACACTACAGTTCAAAGGCATCAATTCTTCTTCTGTCATCCTTAGGTATTGCCCAGCTCTCAGATGCAGAGCAAGTGACTGTAAAGGCCATGACCTGAATCAGGTATACCTTCATCCTCATGCTGACATCATTGCTGCTCAATAATTTGGAGAGGTCCCTAACTGCACATGTTTCCAGTACAATATGTCTCTTGATCTCGTGACTGCTAGTACCAAGTGTACTGATTGTGGATCCAGCTAAGATGAAGTCACTGACAGTCTCAATCCTGTCTCCCTCCATCAGAATGTTGCCCATCGGTCCAGTGGCAGATTCTGCTAAAAGTGCCATTTTCCAGCGGGAGACCAGAGACACAAGAAGTAACTTACCTGCACAGTTTGTCAGGGGCAGAACTGGTATTTAATTCAAGGTAGTCTGAGTCTGGTTTCAGTCTAAACTCTGAACCTGAATTCAGACTAAACAATAACAACAAAAGAATCAAACCAAACAAACAAAAATTTCAAATAGTACAAGCGTGCACACGCAGCCCTTGAGCATCTAAAACATTCGAGATTTATTTGCTTGTTGTATAGCGACATCATCCTGCCTAGTGAGGCTTTAGCCAACACAACTAGGAGCTAAACCCTTCCAACTCTAACAACACATCTAGGAGCTAGACCATTTCTCCACAGCATTGCCTTGTGCTTCATAGCGCTTGCTGTTACAAAGTGGCATAAGAAAATCTCATCCCAAAATTGTCTTGGCCAACCCTTGCTGAAGTGAAATAAACATAAATCAGGCTGAGTGGATCTGAACAGTGGACATGTGGAGAAAGGGTTAAGATTTTGTTCTAAAACTTGGTCGACTTTCAGAAAGTCCTATGGGGAGCTCAACTGCTCTGTTCCTTTTGGGACCCTGCCTGAGAGTCCGAGCGTAACAGGATGCTGGGGCTCCAGGCGCTTGCCCCTGGCATTGTGCGAAAGAGAACCAATGAGAAACGACTAGAAAATCGGGTGCAGTAAACCCGAAAAGGGGGCAAGGAGGCCTGAGGGAGGGAAAGGGGAGGAGAGAGGGAGGAGCGGGGAGGGCCGAGCTAGGAGGAGGCTGGCGCTGAGCTCAGAGGGGCGAGCGCGCTGGCAGAAGCGGCGGAGACGGAGCGCGCGGGCCTCGGAGGAGAGGAGCGGCCGGGGAGGCGGCGCAGGCGGGCGCGCGGTGGGGGCTGGCCCGGCCACCGAGTGACGTAGCGCCGAGCGGGGCGTTATCAGCTGCGGGGCTGCAGGCGAGGGGTGCACGGAGACAGTGGACGGCGCCGCCGGGCCCGGGACGGTTGCGGCCGCGCGCCGGTCCCGTGCGCTTCGAGCCGTGCGCCCTGCCGCTGGGTGGCATGAGCCCTTTGCTCCAGCCTTAGAGCAGCCGCTCCTCTGCTCAGGCGGCTGGGCTACAGTGACGGGAACTCGCCGCAGGGCTCAGGACCATGAAGCCCAATTCGGCTGGGACGACGAGGGAGTTGGAGCCGCAGGCGCCCGCCCGGGGCGAGCAGCGCGCCGCGGAGCTCGAGGGGCGCTGGCGGGAGAAGGGCGAGGCGGACACGGAGCGGCAGCGCACCCGGGAGCGGCAGGAGGCTACGCTGGCCGGCCTGGCGGAACTGGAGTACCTGCGCCAGCGCCAGGAGCTGCTGGTCCGGGGCGCCCTGCGTGGCGCCGAGAGCACGGGGACCACTGCGCCCCGCGCCGGCGAGCTGCCTGTGGAAGCGGCGCAGCGGAGCCGCCTGGAGGAGAAGTTCTTGGAGGAGAACATCTTGCTACTCAGGAAGCAGTTGGTAGGTCGTGCTTATAGGTGGGGCATAACTGCTCCCCTCAACGCCCCAGCGAAGCTGAGTGTTGGGGCAGGTGACCCGGGCTGGTCGCGATGATGCCTCTGGTGGGAGTAATTCGCGCCGTCCCCAACTCCCTTAAACCCCACTGGTCCCCCTTCCTGTATGTGCCCAGTGCGCGCGTGGGGGGAGGGTGTCCATGTCCACGCGAGTCTAGTGTGTGCCTGCTTTGTGTTTGAGCACGTGAGAAGTTGGCGACCCTGCAAGGATTGCGGGGAGGGGGGTGGCCGCCCTGCTTTCGACCGCTGCCTTTGGAATTCTTGGAGGAGCAGCCCTTTTGCAATCCTAGGTCCCCCTAGTTAAGAGGAATACCTGCCTTCTTCCGGAAGGTTCACACACCCTCACTTAAAATAGGATTTCATCAGAAGTCGTCTTAGCTTCTTCCCCTGCTGAGGACAAAGCCAAGGAAGGGGCTTGTGGCGTTGCCAAGAGCCCAGAACCGACTTTGGACGATCACACTGAAGGGTCCATAGGAAGACATGTCCCTTCTAGGGCTCTCCCCAGCGTGCCAGGTTTCGCCCCACCTGGCGCTTAATTTTACATAGAAACCCTTTGTATAAGGGAGCTAACAGTAGATGCTAATGATGAAACTGGGCTGGGGAAAGTGCCCCCGCCCCTCAGACTCTAACCAAAGCCCCGCTGGTTGGGGAGGTGGCAGAAGGGGGAACCAACTCTCAGGGAGCATTTATCTTATTGGATTTCTGTCAGCCTCTCAGTCATTCTGTGCAGTCTTCATTAACGAGGACGAGAACTTTGGAGCTTCATGTATTGATGAACAGCTTTTGACCCCGCCTTAGAATAATGGCGGCAGCTTTGTTCCAGTGACCTCAAAAATGTAGTTTTGAAAACAGCAAAAAAATCCTCACCTGATGTTATGGTCCTATCTGAGGTTGGACACATGTGCCATAGTGTCCTCCTTCATCGAAGTGGTCATTTGTGCTAATATTTGTTATGTATTTTTGGAAATAGCTTCCCCTCATGTCCCAGATAGTTTTCTTTCTTTTTTTTTTTTTTTAAGCACCAGAGAGCTTTTTATTTGTTTGGTTCAGTTTTTCTCAAGAAACTCTGTCGCACACAGGCATATTATGGCTTATGTCTCCAAGCATTTTTAAGTCAAAGGCGGCGGGAGTAGATCTTCATGTGAATCTGTATTGTAAGAGTGTTCACCACGATTTCTAGAATCCCTCTGTTTTGGCATTTTAGTGTTTTTGCTAGCAGACCAGATTTGTGTGTAATACTGACTTGAGACAGTCTCTCTGGTTATGTCCGGTCATTTAACGTTTAGTGTTGCCTTGTGCAACAGCACCTTTTTTTTGTCTCCACGAATTTCAAGATTGTGAATGGCGAGTTCCTGTTGTTTGCTCGACGGGAGGAAGGCAGTGTGTCAAGAGAATTCCAGTCCAGTCACTATTTGTGGTACTATTTTCATTTGTAGACTTGGCATTTGTGATTTGAACCAGATGCCTTTTGAGTTCTTTTGCTTTTCCAGCCCGAGGAAGCGCTAGGTGGCGGTGTGAGGTAGAACAACAGATCTGTCACTTTTGGAAACTCGAGCTGAGTTCAAATCTTGATGGGCCTTCCCTTGAGGGTTTTGGATTCTGCCAGCTCACATTATACTTGGCATTGGCTATTAGTATTAATTTCTAACTTTCAAAGGCCCTGAGGCTGATTAAACCTCACAAAGCAGCTAATAGAAAACAAACTGTGTAGGCGGAGATATTTGGCCAGAAAATCTCACCTAAGTAAGATTATAGGGCATTGCACGAAATCTGTTACTCTAACTTCACATTGAAGAGTTAATTAATTGTGAAGTAGTTGTTTGGTTTTTTAACTTTTTTTTTTTAAAACCAAAAACAACATTGGCTGGACACCAGAGAATTAAAATATCTGAATGTGCTTTTTTTGTTTCTACTTATAAAAAGTAATGTGTATGTATTTTAGTTGAAACTAAAAATAAATTTGAGTTGGGTTTTTTTAAAAGAAGAATATTGTGACAAAATGTGAGAAAGCAGAACTTTTTAATTCCAGGTCAACTAGTAAGATTTTGGTTCTGGAAGATTTTGTGAACTCTTTAGATGGGTAATTTAATACTTAGACTAGATTTTCTGGTTCTTTGTCATCAAAGTGTGTCTATATTTCCTGTCCTTGTTTCCTCCTAATCAGAATTGTTTGAGAAGAAGAGATGCTGGTTTGTTGAATCAGTTGCAAGAACTCGACAAGCAGATAAGCGACCTAAGGTTGGATGTGGAAAAGACATCTGAAGAGCACCTGGAGACAGACAGCCGGCCCAGCTCAGGTGAGTGCTTTGAGTACAAAAATCTGCACTCCTTGACTACCTCGGCCCCCTGCAGCTCACATTCCCAGACCTCCAACTGGCAATTGAGTCTGTCTCCAGCACAAAGAAAGTGGGGAAAAAAACCCCCCAGGCTGCCATTCTGTTGCATGAGAGGGAAATAAAGCCAGGCTATAAAGTTTTTAATAACAATATTGATCTGATTGACGTCACCTGAGCTCTGATGTTTGTTTTAAAATAATCATAACACAAGATATTAAAACATACTGTTTACTCAAGCAGTTATTCTATATGTGTATAGGTAGACTTTTCTGATTTTTTTTTTTCAAGTGCTCAATATAGGCTAATTACAGTGAAGCTTTTAAAGGGGAGAGGAGAGAATAGGGCAGGAAAGTAACCACTGGGTAATTTTAACATATTGATTGCTTGAACCCTGTCCTATTCCTTACCCCCTTTTACTGAGATCAGCTGGTAACAAATTACTAGGTGGTCTCTGTTCTGAGCGGAAGGAGCATTCATTTGCACAAATCTGTAGGGGTTTTTTGTTTTGTTTTGCTTAATAAATATGGGTTTCCATGGCAACAAAGTACTTAATTGTTACAGATTTGGCATTAAAAAGTTTTTCCTTTTACCTATTTGTAGCTAAGAGACCTCTTGAAATTTAAAATTAGGAGTACACATGGTCCTTTTCATTAAATGTGTTCTTGACTATATCCAGAATGTTATGCTGCTAATCCAAAGGTGGCCCCTCTCTGGGGGTTCAAATCTCTGGTGGTTCTGAGGGAGAAAGATTGTTCTCCTGTAGGATTTACAGCCTCACAAACCCTGTGGAGAGTCCGCTGTGGGTCTTTCCTAATCAGTAGCAATGAGAGAGTGTGCCAGAAAAGACAAATTGACAGTGCTTCAATTTGACAGTTCCTGATGGAAAAAAACGAATTAATAATGCTATAGTTTTGGTTCAGGCTTTTATTAATTTGGGCTCTGGGTAAGAGAACTCCTTTAAGTTAAAATAAGGTGTAGATTTTTAATTTTATTTCAGTTAAAAATGAAAGCTTTCCTTCAAATTTCTCAAGGATTGACCTTCCTTTGAAACTTGAGAAAGTTAGAACTAGGCTAGAAAATTGGTCACACTTCAACTTCCTGTCACCACTTCAAAAGTTGTTTTATCTTTCCTTTGTACCAATTTGGCTCCTTAAATAGCATTATTTTTCTCTTTAAAGTTATTCCTTCTGAAATGTTCATGATAAGATAGAGATTTGACAAATCTAACTCTTGCACATCTTTGAAGGTAGGGGTAGGAAGGAATGCTGAGAGTAATTTTGAAATTAAGAGCCATAGCTCTTTGCCTTTCCCTAAGATTATTTGAAACAAAACCGTAAATCAAGAGCACTAAATTCAATGAGTCGAAGTTGGTCCTCCCTTCCTACTGGAAAAAAGAGTCTCCCTTTCTTAGATGATTATCCCTCTTCCTATTAAAGCGTGAATTTTTAATATTACTTGATCTTAATTCCAAATGTTCTTGTTTGTAGGTTTTTATGAGCTGAGTGATGGGGCTTCGGGGTCCCTTTCCAATTCCTCTAACTCAGTCTTCAGTGAGTGTTTATCCAGTTGTCATTCCAGTACTTGCTTTTGTAGCCCCTTGGAGGCAACCTTGACCATCTCAGATGGCTGTCCCAAGTCTGCAGGTAAGAATTTTTGATAGATATCTAAAGACAGAGAAGTTGGGTTCTCCTAGAGGCTCTCTAGCTCCAACTCCTTATCCTGACGGAAAAACAAAGGCTCAGAATGTCATCCACTTGCTACATTTAGTGCTGTGATTACATTTAAAACCCATACGTATTTTTTTGAGGGCTACGTGGCTCTATGTTCTGATGGCAAGGCCTGGACTTATCTTTAGAAACTGTCCGAATATCACAGGTCTTGAAGTCTGTTTCTGGCTCTTTGCTGTTAGTTTGAGTAGCTTTCATATTCTTTTGAAAACCACTTTGGATGCATCTTCTTCTCCTTCATTATTTAAAGCTAAAACTTCACTATTATGTTAAATATGCCTGTTAGCTTCCTCAAGGATTTCCTGGCACTTCAGGGAACAATACTGCATTTATGTTCTCTTGTATACCCTGCATGATAGCTAATAGGTGGGGTAGAGGCCTCATTAGCCTCATTTGTCCCCTTTCTGAGTTATCCTTGCAATGGACTTCAGGGAGAATGATGCTGTTGTTGGTCCAAGAAGGGTTTCTGCATTTCTGCACACTGTACTGCATGCTCTACCTACATTTATCTCTTTGAATCCTTATAACACTCCTGCAAGATGCAAGTGTTATGAATCACTTTTATGTGTAAGGAAAATGAGGCTTAACTTAGGAAGGTTAGCTAAGTTGTTTAAGGATATATAGTGAGTGGCAGAAGCAAAATCTAAGCTCAGGCCCAAGCTACCAGGTCCACGCTTTTCCACCTTTGTCAAGTGATTTAGAAATTGTGTTCAATCTCTTCATCTAACAGAGGAAGAATAACTGATAAGCTTTCTCATAGGATTATCATCTGCTAAATGGTACATTTGGTGCTGAAACTTGGGATTTCTTCCTTAGTCCTCTGACTCTATTGTAATTCCTAGCAAGAGTAAAGATTAGAAGATGCTGGTACCAATCACTGCATTTCTGGGTTCCCCACGTGATTGAAGTGTTTTGTCCAGGCAACACAGACATAAAATGGAATAGCTGAGTATTGCTTATTGGCTGGTGGTGGTGTACAATGTGAGCTGTCAGTGTCATTCATTTTGGGAAGCATAGGTCTGGGTGTCTAGGCCATTCTGGGTTTCAGGTTCTTTGGGTCTTTGCTCCCCATCACTCTGCAGATCTTGTACTGAATAAACCAATTAAAGGTAGTTTGGTACAGGTTTTCCTTTAGGACAGATCCCTGCTGCTTCAAATGCTATAAAAGCTTGAGGGGAATGCCAGATCCTTACATACTTGGGATAGCTGGGCTCTGGAGGCTAGAATGCCTGTTTCATTTCTGAACTTCTTTAGGGAAAAGGGACGAAGGTGAAATTTAGGTAAGGCAAGGATAGAGCTTAAAGTAATGAGCAAGGAGGGATGAAGAAGGATGTTAGTTAGCTAGAACAATGTGCTCCTTAGAACCTATTTATTAGTGGGACGAGAGTATTGGAATTTTTATAGTAGTATTTTCTTTACAAATGACTCATATCATCTCTAGATCTAGACTTTCCCCTCATGTTTTTGTTATGTGCCATTGAGTTGAAACCGACTTACAGCTGACCCTCCAGTAGGATTTTCAAAGGCTGTAAAATGCATGGGGGAAGACTGCCCATTTTTTCTCTCAAGGAATAGCTGGTGGATTCAAACTGCCTGCGTCTGAATTGGCAGAATGCCTCACCACTAGGCCAGTTATTGAAGTTTATGGAATTTGCCCTTTTAATTAATTATAATAAAAATAAATTGTGGGACAAATGAAAGCCTTGATGTCTTTAGGTCAAAGGACACATTTTGAAACACCATAGGGTTACAGGGGATCTATATCCTTGGGTTTTTTTTTTAAATAATCTTATTGTTTTATTGCTCTAAGGGAATACATTTATATGTCAGAAAGCTTTTATTTGTAGGTAGATCTTAAATTTGAAGCTTTATAGTCTGATACACAATAGTTCTTAATATTTAAATGAGTATGTAGAAAATGGGAGATTTTAATGAAACATTTCCTCTGATAGCTTTCATTGAAAGCCATTTAAGGCCTTTAAAATAATATTTACCAGGATAAAACTTCAGTTAAGGGGGAAAAAACCCCAAAACCAACTTGACTTGAAACTTCACTTTTGAGTTGTGGGGAATTTATCTATTAATAGTCTTTTCAAACTTTACCAGAAATTGCTTTTCTTAATTTCTTTAAAACTATGCTTTAATCCTAATTGAGAAATATAGGAGATGATGATTTAAATTTTATTAGTTTCTTTTGAAAGTTGGTTAGTGACCAAATTACCTCAATTTTTCAAATGAGTTCTATTTGAACTTTTGTTTATGAAAAGAAAAAAAAATATGAGGAAAATAGCTTGCAAAATACAGTTAGCTTAAGTATTCTGGGGGCCTAGTAATAAAGGATTGCATTGCCAGCCTGAAGGCTAGAAGTTCAAATTCACCAGCTATTTTATGGAAAAAAGATGGGCAGTCTCCTCCTTTGTGATTTATAGCCTTTGAAGACCTGCTGGAGGGTTAGCTATGGCTAGTTCTGACTCTATGGCACATAACAAGTATTTTAAAGAGAAATCAGGAATAGAACGTAGTTGGGAGAGAAGCCTAGAAAGAATGCCTTTTTTTAAAAAAAGTCTCTAGTTTATATACTTATTGTCAATATTTATTGTCAAAAGGTTAAAAAGTAGAAAGTAAACATTTTCCCACCAAACTGAAATGCTACCAAAGTCTTTGTTCTTTCATACTCAAAATCTTAAATCATAACCATACTCTGTGTTGTGTTATATCATGATTTTCACTAAACTTTCCTTTCCCATATTATTCAGTACATTTTTGGAAGCAACATTTAAATGACTGAATATTATTCAGAGGATAGTGTGAATCTTATTAAAATTTTGTAAATGTTTTTTCTAATTGAAACTTTTTCCCTGTACCAAACAGCATTATGATAGCTATTCTTGGACATAATTTATTGTGTCCGTCTTTAAGAATTTCTTTAGGTAAAAGTATGGGCATTTTTAATACTCTTGAGTCATGTAGTCAAAATTTCCTTCCAACTTTGATAACAGGGTTGAATCAACCTCTGCTAGGAATGTTGAAACTCATGGCATTTTTTAATGTTCCTTTTCATTCCCTACTGGCCTATCTAAAGAAACCAATGAGAAACAGAACTATCATGTAGCCACAGAAATAACTTTTTTTTTTACCCTCATCCAGTCATATATGCTGTACAAGAGTAAAATAGCATTTTTTTAAAAAAAATTCTTTGACATTCCTGCTCTTCTTTTGAATTTATCTTCATAAAAACTGGTTAGAGAGACAAGATGGATCTCATCAATTCCTTTCTTCAGAGTGTACCTTTAAATGTTTCTCTGCTCACATAGCAGGGTTGGACTATAAAGTAGGCCTCTGTGGGCCCCAGCGAGTGTTCCATTCCCCTGCACACCTCAGTTTAACTCCCTTGATTTCGTTGCAGATGTGAATCCCAAGTACCAGTGTGACCTGGTGTCTAAAAATGGGAATGATGTGTATCGCTACCCCAGTCCACTCCATGCCGTGGCTGTGCAGAGCCCGATGTTTCTTCTCTGCCTGACGGGCAGCCCTCTGAGGGAAGAGGAGAGGCTGCTGGGTCACCATGCCAATGACATCTGCATCGGACCCGAGCTCAGCTCCATCAAAACGGACAGTTCCTTACCATCGCCAAACAGTCTGTGGTCTGCTCCCCACCCTGCATCCAGTAAGAAAATGGACGGCTACATTCTGAGCCTCGTCCAGAAGAAAACCCACCCTGTAAGGACCAACAAACCTAGAACCAGTGTGAATGCAGATCCCACAAAAGGGCTCCTGCGGAATGGGAGCGTGTGTGTCCGCGTGACGAGTGGAGTCTCACAGGGCAACGGTGCCAACCTTAAGAATTCTAAGCAGGTGTGCTTGCCATCTGGTGGCATACCTTCTTTGGACAATGGGACATTCTCCCCACTGAAGCAGTGGTCAAAAGAGTCCAAAGTGGAACAACTGGAAAGCAAGAGGTTGCCCCCACCAGAGGGCTGTTCCCCGGGCACTGTCACTGAACTTCCGAGTAAGCTTTTGCCAAAAAATGTCAAAGCAGCCTCTCAAGAAAATGCCCGGTGTCCCGTTGCTGTAGCCGGGGAGGCCCCAAAAGACAACGGCCAGATGTCAGTGGTCTCTCCGAAAGAGAGCCCAGGGAGGGTCCCCCCGCCGCTGCAGGAGAGCAAGGTGGTCCCACCATCGAAGAAGGTGGCTCAGAAAAGCAGCCTGCAGGTGGCTCCCCCTGCCGCTCCTCCACTGCTGCCCTCCGTCTCCGTCCCTGTCGAGGACAGGCCAGCCTTGGATTTCAAAAGCGAGGGCTCTTCTTCCCAAAGCCTGGAGGAAGGGCACCTGGTCAGCGCCCAGTTCATTCCGGCGCCGCAGCCGAGTGCCCGGCTGCACCGGGGCAGCAAGAGCACGGGCATCCCGAAGACCTCCACCCTGAAGCACAGAGCCCAGGCCCTCCACGGGGCCGAACACGGCCTGCCCGCCGTGAGGGAGAAGAGCCGGGCAGGCGGCAAGAAGTGTCGGTTTCCTGACGACCTGGATACAAATAAGAAACTCAAGAAGGCCCCGGCCAAAGGGAGAAGGAGCGGAAATGGCTCGGCCGAGGCGGGACTTCCGGGCAGGCTCCTGGGCGGCAGCCATAGGGCTGGGAGCCGGGCCCATGATCACGGACGGGATCCAGTGGTGGCCAAACCTAAGCACAAGCGAACCGATTATCGGCGGTGGAAGTCCTCCGCGGAGATTTCCTATGAGGAAGCGCTGAGAAGGGCCCGGAGAAATCGCCGAGAAAATGTGGGCGTGTATGCAGCGCCAGTGCCCATTCCGTATGCCAGTCCCTACGCCTATGTGGCCAGTGACTCCGAGTATTCGGCCGAGTGCGAGTCGCTGTTCCACTCCACCGTGGTGGACACCAGCGAGGACGAGCAGAGCAATTACACCACCAACTGCTTCGGGGACAGCGAGTCCAGCGTGAGCGAGGGTGAATTTGTGGGGGAGAGCACAACCACCAGTGACTCCGAGGAAAGTGGCGGATTAATTTGGTCCCAGTTTGTCCAGACTCTCCCCATTCAAACAGTCACAGCCCCAGACCTTCACAACAACCCCACAAAAACCTTTGTCAAAATCAAGGCTTCACATAACCTCAAGAAGAAGATCCTGCGCTTTAGGTCTGGTTCTTTGAAACTGATGACAACAGTTTGAATTAAGTCATTGCTTTAGGAAGCGTGTTTTAACCCCTAGTGACCGAAAAAGGATGGTGTGTAAAACTTTCATGGAATGCTCTCTCTCTTTCTCTTTTTCATTATTAAGACAAAACCAAGGCAAATGATGTTACATCTTCATCGTGTATGGAAATTAGTGCCTGTAATGGGAAGTAAAGAAGGTTGGGTTAGTTAGAAGTAAAAAAGAATTGACGTTTTAAAATGGTGGAGGATGGTGGTATCAGCTGATTTTTATGTTACATTTTCTGAGTATCAAGGCACAGGTTGTGATTTTTCCTTCAGGTTTCATTAAGATGAGACATTTTGATGTCTAGGTAATTGGATGGAATTTTAGGACTCAACATTTGCGCCTTGATTATTTAGGGCAGTATTTTCCTGCTGAAGAGCATCACACTCAAAATTGTGTGAAATCGTAAGAGGGGTAGCCATTGTTTTCTAGGAGTTTTTTTATTGTCTACATTTTTCAGCGATATTTCCCATTCTGTTTTCTTCTCAAAATTGTTCCGTTTATTGGATTCATAACTTTTAGACCAGTCTACACTAAATCCAGTGACTGGGTAGCGGAGACTGGTGACACCTTCAAAAGATTCACTGAAACTTAATCACACTTGGTGCCTTGGCCCTGGTATCCTACTCTAGGGCCAAAATTTTGAAGCCTTTTCTACCCCTTCCCTAATTTCCCTCGGAAGACTTGCCTTTGAAACAAATTTCTGGTCCTTAGATATGGAGAACTTTCCTCATAATGTAGTAATACTTTTCCGTGACTCCACGCTCAGAATTACTCACTGAGCCCTCTGCCACTTAAGCTTTGGCCTGAACATAGTAGTGCAATCCAGTCCAGATTGGACCACTGACCACATCTGGAAGGGCTTTTTTTTTAAAAAAAAAATTGTAAACAGTATTGTGTAAAATTGCTTTTAAAAAATACAATATATGCATGTTCTGTGCATGGGTAGTATTTGTTTTGATATTCTTGTTGATGTTAAATTTCTGTATGATACATGCCGTATTTGTTTTTTATATCATTGTGTAAATTTAATATAACACGTTATATGCTGTAATAAACAATTTGTTTTATTGCTGTTAAGTTTGTTATTTGGGTATAAAACCAGATGTTTACACCTATAAATCTTGTGCTGATTATTAGTGTTATTTGTGAGCTTTATTAGCACTAGAGTATTAACGTGCACTAAGTAAGATGAGTTTTAACCGGTGATTGGGATGGAAGACTAAGGTATGGTAAAATTAAGGATAAATTTGATAGATGTCTTCTAAGGAAACATTTCTGTCTGACATTTTATTACAGAAAAATTCAAAGGGGGAAAATTGAAAAGATAGTAAAATAAACACTTGTAAACATACAAACTAGATTTGACAACTGTTAATATTATTCCATCTTTGCTTAAATCATACACAGGTTTCACAGGTCAAAGAGAGATCCGGGCAATTCCCCCACCACGCTGCTGCAAATGAAAACAAGAATAAGATACAATACTTATCTGTCTGTTAGGGAGCTCTGGTGACTTAGTGGTAAGGAGTTGTATTGCTGACACAAAGGCAAGAGGTTTGAATCGAACACCTCCATGGAAGATAGATGAGCAGTCTCCTTCTGTGTGATTTACTACCTTTGAAAACCTGCTGGAGGATCAGCCCTGAATTGGTTCAGACTGCATGACACGCAGCAACACTTGTCTGTTACGGAGCTCTGGTGGTGTAGTCCACAGGGACTTGTGCTGCTTATCCAGAGGCTGAGATTTTTTTATGGTTCAAATCCACTAGCATCTCTAGGAGAAAGAGGAATAATCTGTGTTAAACTTCCTGTCTTGAAAAACCCAATAAGGGTGAACGATGAGTTGGTCCCATCTCAATGGCCGTGAGTTTGAGTTGGGGTTGTTTTATTTTTCCACCTAATATATGATTTCTTTGAGTTTTATTTTTTGTTTTATATATATATGTGTGTGTGTGTATTTTTGAATTTTATTGTATTTAAGCAAGAGTTTATAAAGCATATTGATTTTTCATTTAATCATTTATGAATATTTTGTTTATAGCATTAATTACAATACCCACAAATAATCACTTTTTCTGCTTTCCCTTTGTAATTCTCATTACCATTATTGGTAGATAGAGTCGAGTCAGCTGACTTACAGGACCCTAGCCTTGTCCTGTCCTGTACTATCCTCATCATCTCTGATATTCCTCAGCCCATTGTTGCAGTCACTGTATCAATCCTTCTTGTTGGGGTTCTTCTCTTTCTCTGCCTTTCAGCCTTTCCTAACATGATATTGAAAGGTTCCTCTGACTGCGTGGGTCCAAAACCAACCAGAGCCAAGTGTGTGGCAAATGGGCTTTTAATTAATAATTGCCTTGGGAAAATGAGGTGAGGTTCTCAATGCAATGTCAGCTCCAAGCAAGGGTCTATTTAATTATAATTCATTCCTGTGGCCTTCGATTGCTGGAGGGTTTGGGAAGAGTGTGTGTATGTGTCTCTTTGTGTGTGTGTGTGTGTGTGTGTGTGTGTGTGTGTGTGTACAGTTTAGGGATTTTAAGAGACTTTTCAGTCTTGAGTTTTTTTTTTTAAGTGGAGGTCCAAACTGTTGGAGTTTGTCATTTATGCATGGGAGAAAACTGGAAGCATTATATATGAGAGAGATGCCAGAGGAGTTAAAAGCGTTCTGCTTTATGTTGGTGATCATATGCAGAGGGTGGGTAGGTGATGCCATTGGATTTTAATAGAAGACTCTTGTTACAATTTCCTAGAGGGTGGGAGCTGAGTATTACTGAGTGCCTGGGTGAAGGAAGAATTGCTCAAAGAGTGTGCTTCAATGGAGGGCTGTATGAGCTGGGGATGTAGAATTAGGATGACATCCAGCAGTTGGAAATAATTTCTCCACAGGCAATAATATTAGACATATTAACTGAAGCATTATCTTCCCAGCAGTAAAAACAGGAGAGAAGAGACATAGAAATGACTAACATGGAATGGGTGGAGGGTGATATGACAGAGGGAGATACAGGGAGAAGAAATATAATAAACAGAAGAAAAAATTGGGTAGAAGAGTAATCTTGGAAATATCCTTGGAGTTTCATTAAGTAGAAAAAAAAAAAAGGGAGTGTGAAAGTCGAGGGTAAGCATACCACTGGAGAGTGTTTAGTTGGATCATGAATTAATCCAGTGCAGGCTGTGTGGTCAAGGGACTTGTGAGTACGTAACCCTGAGGCTTCAGGTTCTTGATTCAGCTTACAGCCAACAGGGCAGAAGAGTTCCTTTCCAGGAAGTGGCTCCTTTTGGATATTAAATGGATAAAATCCAATTAGGAGAGCACAGAGAATGCTGCCAACTAAAAGTGGAATGCTTTACATCCTCGGGTTTGCGGCTGGTTTTTTCAATGTATGGCTAAGTTTCAGGTGTAGCAGGTCGGTGGCTATGAAAGTATAAATTATAGGGGGAGAAGAGTGTACTGGAGCTTTTGTTAGGGTGCCTGATGAGGTAGAAAACTTTGGTGCATTGCCAGGTAGTCTGAAAGAGGATAAAAGGTTTTTTATTTTGGTGGTGTGGATCCAGCATTGGATTCTTGAGACTTCAACCATAGTGGAAGTGGTGAGTATGACAGTATATAGTCATTTTCACTGGGGTTGGAGAGGCTGTATGTGGGGATTTTCCAAAAGGACTTGGGCCTCTATTTTGATAACGTTGTTTTGAAGGTTGTCAGGAGAAGGTAGATTTTGCTTAGCTACCTGGTGAATGATACAGGCCATGGTCTTTGCAATCGCTTGTTATGCATCAGAGAGTTGGACAATGACTAGGGAGGACAGAAGGAGAGTGGATGCTTTTGAGCTGTGGTGCTGGAGAAGAGTACTGAATGTACCATGGACTGCCAGGAAAACAAACAGATTCATCTTGGAGAGGATTAAACCAAGCTACTCCTTGGAGGCAAGGATTCTGGGGCTTCGTCTGACATACTTTGGACATGTTGCCAGGAGGGACAGGTCCTTGGAAAGGGACATCATGCTTGGGCGGGTGGAGAGACAGCGCAGGAGGGGAAGACCCTCTATGAGATGGATTGATTCGGTGACTGGGGTAATCGGGATGGGTGTGTCAGAGGCGGTGCGGTTGGCGCAGGATAGAGCAGGGTTTAGGGCTGTTGTGTATAGGGTCGCTATTAGTCGCAATCGACTCGACGACACATAACAACAACAACAACAACAACCTGGTGAAGGATTGATCTAGTTTCAGTGATGGCTGTAAGTGGCCAGGGTCTTTTAGCATGGGACTGGGTAGAAATATTCAACCATACATACATTCAAAGGGGCTGAAGAGTGTAGAGGCTTTGGGTATGGCACAGATTCCCATGAGGGAAAGGGGCAAAAGGCTGACCCATGACTGCTTAAGTTCTATGGAAGTTTAGTTAAGTGAGATTTGAGGATGGAGTTAGTTTTCTGAACTTTTCTTGAGGACTGAGGGTGGTAAAAGGGATATGAAAGTCCCATTTTATCTTGAAGCTAGTGGTGACAGATTGGTTGATTGGCATGATGAAAGCTAACTGGAGAGAAGAAGAGAGCCCAAAGCAGAGAATGATTTGGGAGAGTAAAGTTATCAGTAACTATTGAAAGAGCTGGAAAGGCTTTGATTCCCCCCAAAGAAGGTATCTACAAAAACAGGAAGATAGAGTTTTAATGAGACAGGAAGTGGGTAAAGCCAGTCTGCCAATCCTGAGCAGAGAGGAAGCCTCGAGCTTGGTATGCAGGAAAAGGGGGAAGCATTGTACTTATTTTGAGGGGAGATCTGCTGGCTAATAGGGCTCTGTTGAATAATGTGGTAAGTCAACAGGAGAAGTTCTGACAGGAGACAACATGTTGAAGTGTTGTTGTTGTTATGTGCCGTCGAGTCGCCTGCGACTCATAGCGACCCTATGTACAACAGCCCTAAACTCCACTCTGTCC